GGATGGGTAGGTAGGTGTGTGTGTGTGTGTGTGTGTATGAGAGAGAGAGAGAGAGAGAGAGAGAGAGAGAGAGAGAGAGAGAGAGAGAGATCAGACCTAGCTACTTGCCCATCTTAGTCAAGGGTTCTACTACTGAACTATACCCCTTGCTCTGAGTTTTTACTTTTTCTTGTTAGTCTTTTTGTTAAACCTATTTTGTCTTAACCACAACCTCAAAACAAAACAAAACAAAAACAAAAACAAAAACAAAAAAACATTTTTCTAGCCTTATAGTGTTGGCACATTATACATATGTGTTAGAATCTGGCAGCTTGATTAATTCTTTGGTTGTTGTTTCAAATAGGGACAGACATCCACACTTAATATTTTTTAGGTCTTATAATGTCCTTGTTTACAAATCTTTGTTTCAATTTATACTCTTGTTTTATCATCTTTACTTTTTAAGTTTGTGAGTGCCTAATGGAGCTCTTTGTGTGGCATCAAGCCACCAGGGCACAGGCTCACCGAAGACAAGGCCTTAATCTTCCTCAGCTCTTCTGAAGCATTGGGCCTTCAGGATGGCAAACTGCTTCGGGAGCCCTTCTCCAGAGCTTTGTAGACGCCCAGTCAGCAGAATGGTAGCAGGAAAGGAGCAGCGAAGCTCCTTTGAGAGAATAAGTAGGGGCTCTCAAGATGTCTCAGTGGATAAAGTCTGACAGCCTGAGGGTGTTCAAGCTGGAAGGAGAGAACTGACTCCTTCAAATTGTTCTTTGACCCCAAGACACACACACACACACACACACACACACACACACACACACACACACACACACAAATAAATGACATTAAAGAACATTTGAAAAAGTAGGAGTAGGTGGAAACTGCATGTTTATAAAAGTATTTCTTTTTCCAGGCTAGCCTTGAACTCAGAGATCCCAATGTCTCTGCCTCCTGAGTGTAAGGATTACAGGTGTGTAATTTATGTAAAAGTATTTCAACTTTCATCCTTTTTGCTGTACTCCTGATTGTTCTTTTTGTTTGTTTGTTGGTTTTGGTTTTGGTGTTTTGAGACAGCGTTTCACTGTGTAGACCAGGCTGTCCTAGAACTCACTTTTTAGACCAAGCCGACTTGGACTCATAGAGATCCTCCTGCCTCTGACTCTTGAGTGCTGTTATCATTCCTTTGTTGCTATTTTAGTTTTGATTCAGGGTCTCACTGGAGCCCAAGCTGGACTTGAACTCCATAAATAGATCAGGCAGCCTATAACTTGTAGTAATCTTGCCTCTGCCTCCTGAGTGCTAGGATTACAGGTGTAAGCCACCATGTTTAGCCTGATTAGTTTTTAAACATCGAATGAATCATCTATAGAGTCTGAAGAGAATTTTGACACTCCTTTTGTCTGGGAAATGTACACTGTAGGTCTTAGGAAAGTTTTCATACATGTGCACCGAAATAAATAATAAAGTGACAAAGGAGTTCATCATAAAGCTGAATATATTCCAATGAACATCTCTGCATCATGAAATCTGTTATACTGTATGTTAAATTTAAAAATTATAGAATATTCTGAGTTTATGCCTTACATATTTTAATGTTATAATAAAGAGTGGTGTTTTTACATGAGGTTGACTTTCCCCCCAGATGTTATCCATGAAATAATATGATGATGTATATCACCAGATACCAGAGCCAGAGAATACTCAAATGAATATGCTGATGCACAATATCTAGCAAAAGTTTCTCTGAGAGAGAGGTGTGGAGTCTGCCCTCTAGCTACTTTCTTGAAAATCTCTCTGTGGCTTAAATGGGAATGTGGAACCTGATGTTTCCAGGCAGCCTGATACTGTCGGGTCTCCAAAGTATTGCTTTTACTGCTGTGGTCAGATGCCTTTGGCTTAGGCTAAGGGAAGTCTTGTGAAGTGGGCTAATGAAACCTCTCCTTGGGTCTTCAGTAAAGCTGTTAGTGAGACTTTAATAGCTGTCTTACAGAGCGACCTCTATGTTGCTCCTTAAGGGGAATTTCTTTCTGGTCCCAGTTACAGTTGTCTCTGGAAATATTTATGTATTTACTCTGTGTGTGTGCACATGTATACATGCACATACATGTTCTTGAGAGTTAAAAAGACAATTTGTGGGAGTTGGTCTTATATCATCTGGGTTCCTAGGATTGAGCTCAAGTCACTCAGCTTGGCAACAAGAGCCTTTACCTGATTAAGTTGTCTTGCTAGCCCCAGTTAAAATTGTTTTGCACAATCAGGCTTTAAAAAAAAAATGATGCGGGGCAGTGGTGGTGAATGTCTTTAATCCCAGCACTCAGGATGCAGAGGCAGGCTGATCTCTGTGAGTTCTAGGCCAGCCTGGTCTATAAAAGTGAGTTCTAGGACAGCCAGGCCTACACAGAGAAACCCTGTCTCAAAAAATTAAAAAAACAACCCCCCCAAACACACACACACACACACACACACACACACACACAGAGAGAGAGAGAGAGAGACAGAGACAGACACAGAGAGTACTTATTGGTTGTTTATAAATGCCAGTAACTCTAACTTGAAGAGATATGGTAATCTCTTCTGCCCTCCATGGGTGCTCCTAAGCACATGTACACACACACACACACACACACACACACACACACACAGTTTTTTTATTTAATTTATTATTTTACATGTCGATCCCAGTTCCCCCTCCCTCCCTCCCTCCCTCCCTTTTACCCTCTCTGCCCTCTCACATGCACCCTGACCACCCTCCCCTCCCATCCCCCCACCCCAATTCCATATGTAGGGGAATGCCATCCAGGTGGGGTCATGTAGATCTGACAGGTCATTTGGAGTAGGGACTAGGGCTTCTCTCCTGTCTCTAGGTTAAGGCAGTATCCCACCATGGGGGATGTGTTCGCAAGGTCCTTTTGTGCACCAGGAATACATCCTGGCTCCACTGTCTGAGGTCCCTTAGACTGCTCAGTCCTTCTGGCTGAGACCCATATTCAGGGGGGCCTGAGTCAGTCCCATGCTGGATTCCCAGCTATCAGTCTGGGGCCCTGTTAGCTCCTCCTTGTTCAGGTCAGCTGTCTCTATGTGTTTCTGCAACCTGGTCTTGTCCTCCCCATCTGCATCTGGGTTCTAGTTCGACTCAGTGTTTATGTATGGGTATTTGCTTCTGTTTCCAACAGGTATTAGATGAGGGCTCCATGGATAAGTTAGTTGTTGATCTCACTATCCGGGAAGGGCATTTATGGTAGCTTTTCCACGGATGCTCAAATTGTTAGTTGGCGGCAGTCTTGTAGGTCTCTAGACCTTTCTTTGGGTTCAGTTTTCTCTTCAAACCAATAATGGCTCCCTCTTTTATGTTCTCTCTCTGTCTGTCTCTGTCTCTGTCTCTCTCTCCTGTCTTCTGTTCCTACCCAGACTCAATCTTCCTAGTCTCACGTGTTTTCCTCTCCTCCCCCTTTCTCCTACTTCTCTCTCCATTCACTGCCCCTCCCCCACTCCCCATGTGCTCTGGAGAACTTGTCCCTTCCCTCTTCTGTGAGGGACTTTATATGAATCTCTTAGAATACACCTTGTATCCTAGTTTCTCTGGTGGTGTGAATTATAGGCTGGTGATCCTTTGCTCTAAGTCTAAAATCCATATATGAGTGAGTACATACTATGTTCCTCTTTTTGTGACTGGGTTACCTCATTCAGGATGGTTTCTTCAAGTGCCATCCACTTGCCTGCTAATTTCAAGATACCATTATTTTTTTTCTGCAGAGTAGTATTCCATTGTGTAGATGTGCCACATCTTCTTTATCCATTCTTCAGTTGAGGGGCATCTAGGTTGCTTCCAGGTTCTTGCTATTACAAATAATGCTGCTATGAACATAGTTGAACAGATGTCTTTGTTGCATGGATGTGGATCATTTGGGTATATGCCTAAGAGGAGGGATTGCCAGGTCCTGTGGTAAACTAATGTTTTTTGATATAATTTTTTAAGAGTACTGGGCAATTATTTGCCTGTCATTTTTGATTGCACAGGTTTTCCCATGATTAGGTGTAGGGTATGGGTTTTTTGTTAGTTTGTTTTTGTTATTATACCACATTGTTGACATGAGGACCACAGAAATGTTTTTATCACTATATCAGTGAATCATGAGATACTTGAAAATTAATATAATTAACATCTTGATGATGTTAATCAAAAAAAAAAAAAAAAAACACTTCCCCACTTCTTCCCAAATCCCCTGTAAGGTTAGGATTAAAGATACATGGCTAAAAGCACGTATTATTCTGTAGAAAAATGACACACATGTCACTGAGACAGGTGGCACAGAGAGTATCTATTTCACTAACCGGGGCAATATTTTTTAAAACCTGTTGCTGATTTGTTAATTGTGCTTTGGATAGGATAGAATACACATAAAGAAAATGCTTTGGAGTTGGTGGGTGTTACAAAGATGTTTAGAAGTTTATGGTTTCAAAAATTGTACTTAATTTTATTTTTAAATTGTGTGTATGTGTGTATATGTGCATGGGAGTATGTGCATGCTAATTGCAGAGGCCAGAAGAGGGTGATGGGTTCCCTAGAGCTGCAGCTACTGGCAGTTGGGAGCGGCCAATGTGAGTGTCAGAAATTGAACTGAGAACCAAGAGTAGTATGTATTCTTAATTGCCACACCATTTCTCCAATGTCAGAATGTTATAGTTTAGTGTAAAACTTTTTTATAATGAACATAGCTCATGATGTAAAGAACTGCTTTGTATGGAAGAATTCTCCATTCTTGATGTGTGTGTGTGTGTGAGAGAGAGAGAGAGAGAGAAAGAGAGAGAGAGAAAGAGAGAGAGAGAGATTGAGAATTTCATGCATATGTACCATCTTGGAATTTTTTCAAATCAAGACCTGCAGCTACTTGGTTGACCCAAGGTAAAGGGATTAGACAAACTCAAGCATTCTTTGGTCCTAGAAATATCTCACATTTCAGTTTATGACCATTTGCTGTTGTCTCTAACATCTTAGTGAACTTGTATTTCTTCCTTTTCAGTGGTTGAAGGCCTTTCACTGTTGGATTTGGGAGTGTCTCCATATTCTGGAGCAGTATTTCATGAAGTAAGTGTTATGTTTTCTTTTCTGGCATTGATTTCATGGATACCAAAGCCTGAGCTTTGTTTGATAGGAATAGCCCTTTTGTAGACATCCTCTGCATAAGAAAGATGTTTCACAATTACAGGGAAAATGATCCAGGTTAGGATTTTAGAAAGGAGAGAGGGAGAGGGAGAGAGAGAGGGAGGGAGGGAGAGGGAAAGAGAGAGGGAGGGAGGGAGAGAGAGAGAGAGAGAATTTACAATTTTCAGGTGTCAGTTTTCTCACATTGTTGGGGTAAGGTTCTGTACACCAGCCTAGCTGGCAATGTCTAGCTGGGTGTGTCTCCTGTCAGGAATGTTGAGATTCTAGAAACAACCAGCTTTCTGTGGATTCTAGGAACGCAACTTAGTTTATTATGCTATGCAGCCAGTGCAGTTACCTGCTGTGCGATCTTCCTCAGTTGAGGGAATATATGAGACATCTATAGAAATTATTTTTTTAAAGGTTCGAAAGCTTGCTTTTAACATATCAATCCCAGTTCCTTCTCCCTTCCCTCTGCCCCCTCAATCCCCTATCCCTCCCACCTGCCTCCCGAAACCCCCTATCCTATCCCCTGTTTGTTCCCAAAAGAGGGTGAGGCCTTCCAATGTGGGATCTTCAAAGTCTGTCATATCATTTGGAGCAGGGCCTAGGTCCTCCCCACTTGTGTCTAGGCTGAGAGAGTATCCCTCCATGTGGAATGGGCTCCCAAAGTCTGTTTATATACTAGGGATAAATACTGATCCACTACCAGAGGCCTCATAGACTGCCCAATCCTCCTAACTAACACCCATATCCAGGGGGTCTGGGTCAGTTCTATGTTGGTTTCCCATAGAGCAAAGGATTGCCTGTCTACAATCCATACCACCAGAGAAGCTAGGATACAAGGAGGACCCTAAGAGAGGTATACATGGTCCCCTGGAGAAGGGGAAAGGGACAAGAGCTTGTGAGCAAATTGGAAGCAGGGTGGGGGAGGGGAGAGGGAGTCAGGAGAAAGAGAAGGGGAGAAGAGGAGGAGAGAGGAGGACATGAGGGAGCAGGAAGATTGAGTCAGGGGAAGAATAGAGGAGAGCAAGAAAAGAGATACTACAATAGAGGGAGCCACTATAGGTTTAAAGAGAAATCTGGCACTAGGGAAATGTCCAGAGATCTACAAGGATGACCCCAATTAAGAATCTAAGCAATAATGGAGAGGCTACCTTAAATGCCCTTCCCTGATAATGAGATTAGTGACTACCTTATATGTCATCCTAGAACCTTCATCCAGTAGCTGATGTAAGCAGAAGCAGACTCCCACAGCTAAACACTGAGCTGAACTCCTGGAATCCAGAAATTATTTTTTTTAATGGCAACTTTTAAGCAGCTCTCAGTCCATAAATAGTTGTATGCTAACTAGCATGTAATTTGTTGCTGGAGTTTCTTCCAGCCTGGACCCACAGGTGCCTCAGCCCCAAATAAACACATGGACACTATTAATTATAAAACTGTTGGCTGATGGCTAAGGTTTCTTATTGGCTAGCTCTGTCTTAATTATTAACTGATTTCTATAAATCTGTGTATTTCCATGTGGTCTTGGCTTACTGGAGAATGCCCGGACCTTTTTCTCCTTTGGCAGCTACATGGCATCTCCTTGCAGTGTGTCTCTGCCTACCTTTCCCAGAATTCTCGTCTCCTGGCCTGCCTATCTTCCTGCCTCTATTGGCTATTGGCCAAACAGCATATTAATCATCAACCAATAAGAGAAACATATATACAGAAGATCATCTCCCACCATTTCTTCTTTTCTATCTAAATAAAAAGAAGGGTTTTAACTTTAACATAGTAAAATTATATATATTAAAGCAGTTATCAAGTAAGAACTATTTTTATAGTCCATTAACATTTGGCAAAATTTAAAGAAAATATTCTATCGTCTATCTTTGTGAGTCTAAAATTTTATATGTAACTTATCTTTTATCATAACTAAGGAAAAGCATAACCATAACTATCTGTCTTCAACTCCATCAAAGACCACAGAAGGATAATATATAAACTCTAGAATTGATAGAGACACCTTGCTGCCTGGACAGTCACCCAAAGTTTCTCTGTAACATTGGAGCACCCATCTTCAGTCCATAGGTTCTAGTGTGCCTGGCAGACTTCTCAGTGAAGCAGGACATTTTAAACTGTCTGCCTGCATTGGCAGTTTGTCTGTATTTTTCTTTGTGTCCTGCAAAATGTCTGGCAGACTTTTCCATGAAGCAGGAACCCTGAGACTGTCCCATCTTGTTTTGGCAAGTTCTGCAATCACTTTCCTGTGGGTCCTGTATGTTCAGTTCATACAGCAACAGTCAGACAGTCCAGACAAGAGCGGTTTCTTGCCCAAATAGCTAGTCTTGCCACATTGAAAGCAACTCCATATTGAGTTTCTTCAATGTCCATCCTCCTCTATGATGTAATTGGTGTTGCCAAGAGCAGTTGTGTCTCACTGTCAAGAAAAACCCTAAACCATTTAAATACTATATTCTGTCAGTCTTTGAAAGGTTTGAAGAATATCCATTTGAAATATATCTCTGTATATCTAGAAAACCTAACTAACATAAGTTTTGATTATTATAGGTGACTGTTTATAATCTGTATTTGATTATACTTTACACTTTTAAAAGATTTGTATAAACACAATACCTAAACAAGGGGAGAAATATAACAAAATTGACCTTAAATTTGTATCAATAAACTAAAATTCATACCAATACAAAGTATTCATTTCCCATATCATATTCCTTTTTTTTCTTTAGAAAGAGGTTGATTGTGATCATAAAACATTTATAACCAACTCCATTTAAATGAAAACAAACATTTATAAACAATATTTGAGAATATGGGCATTGTTCTCTCCAAAGTGCTTCCTGCTGCTGTCAGTACCATGGGGATCCTGAGAAAACCCAGAAACCTGGCCAAATCCTGGCTGTAGTAATCTGAGGCTGCCTCATCTCAGCAGTGTTGGATGTTGGATCACCTGGGTCTTGCTTGATCAAACCATATTAGTCTGGAAGGAATCTACAGTTTATTATTTTCTGTGGAAACAAAACCAGAATTTCTTTTCCAAAGTAACATGTCCTTAGACTTAAATTTTGAAGTCAAAACATTTTCAAAATATATAGGTTGGGTTAATCCAGTAGCATTTATAATCAAATGTCTGTTAGCAGTTGTTACTCTTTCCTCAGCAAACAAACAATTCAAAGGCAACACAATAACATACAGAAATGTCAGGCTGGCCTCTATGTAGCTGGGAATGATCTTGAATTCCTGATATCATGCTGCTTCCTCCTTTGTGCTAGGTTTATATATAATTGAATTTTGAGATGTATTTATTTTTATATTATGTTTATAGGTGTCTTGTCTGCATGTATGACTGTATGTCACATATGTGCAGCTGCCATAGAGGCCAGAAGAGGGCATTGGATCCTCTGGAACTAGTTACAGATAGTTGTTAGCTGTAATGTGGGTGCTGGGAATGGAACATAAGTCCTCTGGAAATCATGTTCTTAACCACTGTGCTGTCTCTCCAGCCCAGTTGCTTACATTTATATTTTTGAAATAAAAGCAATAACAAAAACAGACTCTAGAGCAAAGTATCACTTTATTAGAGTGACAGAATGAGTTTTTCAAGAACAGTGCACAGCTTTAGAACACCATTAGTAAAGACTGATAGACTGGGCTGGGGAGACAGCTCAGTGGGTACAAGTGCAAGCTGTGCGAGCCTGAAGATCTGAGTCCAGTCTCTGGAAACCACATACAAAGCCAGATGTGCTATACACATCTTTAATCCCAACATCTGACAGTTAAATGGGAGATAGAGACAGGAGAATCCCCCACATATAAATGAGCCCAGTCTCTATTTTGAATTGGACCTTTCAGTATCACTATCAACAGCTGATAGATAGAACAGATGGAAAATTAGCAAGAATATAGAAAGTGTGTGTGTTTTCAAGATTTCTCTATTTTTAATTTCTGTGTATGAGTGCTTTGCCTGCATAGATGTATGTGCATTATTTGTGTCTGGTGCTCTTGGCCATCAGAAGAGGGCATTGGACCTCTTGGAGTTATGGATAGCTGTGAACTCCCATGTAGGTGCTTTGAGTTACACCAGATCTTCAGTAAGAGCAAGTACTGGAAACCACTGAGCCATCTTTCCAGCCTTAAGAATATAGAAAATCTTAATAATGTTGCCAGCCAGATTGACCTAAGAGTGCCCCATTCAGTACATCAAAGTGCATTTTAAGTGTATGTGGAACATTTGTAACATAGACTATGTTCTGCCCATAAAAGAAGGCAGAAGGCAGAAGACTGAAATATTTTTGTTCACCACAGAAGGATCAAATAGAGAGTTAACATCAAGAAAGTATGTAGAAAATCCCCCAAATCTTTGGTAACTAAATAACCCAGGAATCAAGAAATCATAAGGGAAATTAGAAAGTAATTTTGAAATTGATGAAAGTGAAAACCTTAGCTATCAAATATGTAGCATGCCACTGAAGTAGTACTTAGGGAGAATTTATGATCACTTAAATTGATATGAGCATAAGGACAGATTACATTCAACATGTGCTCGTTTAATCCAGTATGCTGTATAATTATACTGCCACAGACATGCTAGCTCCCTATAGAAGCTAGCCATTTTGTAGATAGGCTTTTTGAGAACTGTTACAATGTTTCCCTTGTTTGGGGCCTTTCTAAATAAACTGTCTGAAGCATCAAGAAATTTTGAAAGGAGGTTATTTGAAATATAAATATCAGATATATATGTGTATATATAAAATAACAAAGATACTTGAATAATATAATCCACCAGTAGACAGTTATAATCCTTTTAGAACTTTGAAAGAGACAATTGATACCTGTTTTTAAAAAAAGTAAAAAGTTGGTCGCCAGAGGCAGGTGGATCTCTGTGAGTTCCAGGTCAGCCTGGTCTACCGAATGAATTCCAGAACAGGCTCCAAAGCTACTGAGAAACCCTGTCTTGAAAAACAAAAACTAAAACAAAACCAACCAACCAAACAAACAAAAAAACCCCATTGATCACAAGAAGCCACATGCTAAAATTTAGCTTATGGTAGGCATTGTAGTAATTACTTTGCACACATAACTGCATTTACTCTTCCCTAGAGCCCTGTGAAATAGATTGTTTTAATGATTTATTTACATTTTTTGTGTAGGTGTTTTGTCTGCATGTGTATTTGTGAACCACTTGCATGCTAGATACCTGTAGAGTTACAGCCAGACTGTATAAGTCTCGGTCGTCTGGAGAGTAGCCAGTGCTCTTTAACTGCTGAGCCATCTCTTCAGCCTCTGACAAAGATCATGTCCCCCAGTTTATATCAGTGAAAACTGAAGTTCAGAGAGGAAAACAACTTGTTACAAAAACTATGGATTTAAATCCAAATCAAACTCTAAAGTTTCCCTTCTTTCTACCATAACTTGTTCTTATTTACTAAAAAGCCTGTCAGTGATCTTTACAATTTTGTCCTCCCCCTCTTTTTTTTTTTTTTTTTTTTTTTTTTTTCTTCAGAGCCTCTTACATAGCTCAGGCTGGCCTAGAACTTACGATGTAGCCTGGGCTGGTCTCAGCTTCTCAAGTGCTGTGATTATAGATGTGAGTTACTATTTCTGGCTCAGACTGTATCTTTAGCCTGTTGTGGGGTTGATAATGGAGTTTCCACTTAGGGTTTTGTGTATGTCCTTAGGCCTTTTATATCCTTGGGCCTTTTATAGTATTATAAAGCATATTTTTTTTTTTATATGTAGTTAGGAGATGGTGGGACAGATACTTGTGAGCAACCATACTAAAAACAAATTATGCACTTCCTTTCTGATTCTGATGGTCTGGTGAATTAGCTTACAGTAGTGGGCCAACTATATTGGCAAGGACAAGCAGAAAAGTAGAATAAATAACAAAAAGTGTTTGAAGGCATTGGAAAGTAGCAAAATAATCAGAACCCAAGAGCAAAGTTCACAGAGTGAGACGGGCTGGAGAGATGGCTTAGTGGTTAAGGGCATCTACAAATCTTGCAGGGGACCCAGGTTTGAATATTATGCTTCTGTCAGCCTGTAAACCCAGCTCAGGGGATCTGCCCTCCTCTGGCATTAGCATGCAGGTATACATACACACACAAATAAAAATATTAAAATTAAATCTTAAAAAAATAGTGAGACGGGTTGGTGATTTAGTACTGTTGGTACAGTACTTGCTTATTTTACATGAAACCCTGGCCTCATCCCAAGCATCTCATAAACCTGGTGTGGTACTGCATCCCAAGCATCTCATAAACCTGGTGTGGTACTGCATGCCTGTAACTCAGGAGGAAGTGGAGGTGAGAGGATCAAAAGTTTAGAATTCATCCTTAGCTACATACCAAGTCCTTGGTCAGTCTGTGATAGCTGAGATCCTGTCTCAAGAAAACAAAACAAAACAGAAAAGGTAAAACCAGAGCTTGTAATCCTAGCACTGGGAAGATGGAACCATGGTCAGAAATGTAAGGTCATCTTGGCTATGTAGTGAATTTGAGGCCTGCCTTGGCTACAAAAGCCTCCATCACAAAGGTCCCGAACCAAACCAAACTAAAATCAAAACAGAAAGATAATTATATGTTCTTTTTAAAGAAATGCATCTCAGAGATAAAGAAATTGAGGATGTATTTTTTTTTTCCCCCGTTGAGACAGGGTTTCTCTGTAGCTTTCGAGCCTGTCCTGGAACTAACTCTGTAGACAAGGCTGGCCTTGAACTCACAGAGATTTGCTTGCCTCTGCCTCCTGAGTGCTGGGATTAAAGGCGTATGCCACCAGTGCCCATCGAGGATGTATCTTAATGATATAGCATGCACCATGTTTGAGCCTTAGCACCAAGAAAAAATAACAGACACCTACCCTTCTACCACTGCCACTACCAGCACCACCAAAAACACCTGAAAAGAAATCACATCTCAAATATGAGGACACAGAAAAAAGATTGGAAGGCTTGGTTTTGGGATGTAGCTCAGTCTGTAGAGTGCTTGTGTACAAAGCCATAGGTTTGGTTCCTAGCATTCATCAAGCCAAGTGGCACACACCTGTAACTCTAGCACTTAGGAAGTAGAGGTAGGAGGATCAGAAGTTCAACATCATCCTTGGCTGCAATAGTGTTGAGTTTGAGGATAGCTTGTACTATATGAGACCCTGTCTCCTAAACCCAAAAAGTAAAAGGAAGGAGGGAGAGAGGGAGGGAGGATAGATATCATGCAAATACTAGTTTGAAGAGTTGATGTAATTTATGACTTTAAAGCCAAAACAAAACAAACAAATAAAAACCCTTTAGCCGGATGTTGGTGGCACATGCCTTTAATCCCAGCAGTTGTGAGCCCTCATGTAGGTGCTGGGAGGCGAACCCAGGCCCATTGCAAGAGCAACAAATGCTTTTAATTGCTGACCCATTTCCAGTCAGAATAGTGGGGTATTTTTAACCTATCTTTTTTCATCAATGATAGAGCAGAGACTCAAAAATCACTAAGGATGTAGAAATTTTAAACATCATTACTGTATAAATTATATGTAGAATGCTGTGACCATAAATGTTATATGTACATTCTTACCCAAAATGACCACATAATGAGCCAGAACACACTTTATGTTATTAAAATCATATAATGTACTTTTAATAATGATAATAGAGTTAAAGTTATAAATTATAATAATATAAAAAGAAGGGCCAGGGTCAGTGATAGAATGTTTGCCTAGCATGTGCAAGGCCCAAGGTTTAATTTCAGGATTTTAAAAATGAGTAACAAAAATTTGGAATTAATTAAGCCATGTACTCTTTTGTATTTGTACTAAGGATTGAGTATAGAATTCATACATAATGAACACTCTACCGGTGAACCATATCACCCCCAGCAATCGGTACATTTTAAAGTAATCTCAAAGAAGAAATGTCAGTGGGAATTAGATTATATCTTCTTTAAAAAGAAGATCAATCAATTGATCGATTGGTCAGTCTGTTTGTGTGTGTATATATATGTATGTATGTATGTATGTATTCTATCTATCTACCTACCTACCTATATACCTACCTACATACCTACCAACCTACCTACCTACCTATCTATCTGAGGCAGGGTTTCTCTGTGTAGCCCTGGATGTCCTGGAACTCACTCTATAGACTAGGCTGGCCACCAACTCAGAAATCCACCTGCTTCTGCCTCCCACATACTGGGATTAAAGTCATGAGCCACCACTTGAACATAGAATGTTCAAGGCCAGCTTGGTCTACATAAGACCTTGTCTTAAAAACCAAAAGAAAACTGGGTGGTTGTGGTACACACCTTTAGTCCCAGTATGCAAGAAACAGAGGCAGGCAGTTCTCTGTGAGTTCCAGGCCAGCCTGTTCTACAGAGTGAGTTCCAGGGCATCCAGGACTGTTACACAAAGAAACCCTATCTCGGAAAAAATAAACAAATAAATAAATAAAACCTCAGGCCAAGATTAATTTTCTCAAAAACTTTTTTCCTCTTGAGACAGGATTCTACAGTATAATAACCCAGATTGATCTTGAACTTTCCATCATACTTCAGCCTAAGTGCTGGGATTTCAGCAAATATCACCATGTGTGTTGCTTCCTAGGTCTCTGAAGAAGTATAACATTCTTATAGAAACTTATCAGAGAATAGAAGAAGGAAAAAAATCCTAGTTTGTTCATGCAACAATCTTTGTCCTCTATGGACATTCTATGGAGTGCCCCCTCCCATTTTTATTCATTTATTTACTTATTTTGAGACAAGATCTCACATAGCCTAGGCTAGTATGGAACTTACTATAGCCAAAATGACTCTGAGCTTATGATTCCCTTCCTTTACTTTGCACTTCAAGTCTCAAGATTATAAGCACTACCTGTTTTTTGTTTTTTGTTTTTGTTTTTTTGTTTTTACAAACTGAGTTACACCCTCATCCCCTGTTTTTCAAATGAAGTAAGCTGAGGTGCCCAGGCTGGCCTTGAACTTCTAGGTTCAATCTGTCTTCTCAACCCAACCTTCTGAGTATCTACTGTAGGGATGAACCCCTAAGCCAGATATGCCAGGTAGATATCTAGCTAGCATCAAGTTTTGTTATTTTCTCTACTGTGTTCAGCTGATAGTTTCAGTGATACCATGTGACATAGAATACTAAGTTACTTGTTCAGTCAGTACAGGATAACTGTTGCAGGAAGGATCAGATTTTTGTAGCCAAATAAGTTTCCCCCATCCCCAGTTTGGAAACTGATAATTTATATTAAGGTTTAACTTATTTTTTTTCATTTTTGTTTTTCTCCTACAGACTCCATTAATAATATACCTCTTTCATTTCCTAATTGACTATGCAGAATTGGTATTTATGGTAAGTATCCAGAGAAAAATCAGCATATGTATATACTTTTAATTTCATAGTTTGTTTTTTAAGAAAATAAGGAGCTGGGTGAACACATGCCTTTAGTCCTAGTGTCTGGGAGGCAGAGGCAGGCAGAACTTTGTGAATTTGAGGCCAGCCTGGTCTGCATAGCAGATTCCAGACCAGCCAGAGCTGTATCATGAGACCCTGTCTATAAGAAAGGAAAGGAAAGGGAAAACAGGAACTGGAGTTTCTCAGAAAATAAAAGCCAAGACATAATATAATAATCTTTAGCTTGGAGTCTGGCTTTGGGATGGTATTATGGAACATGAGGGACCTAAGAGACTTGTGACCAGCTCTTCTTTCTCATTCTTTGGTTTCTGGACTACGTAGTCTTCAATTTTCTAACCCTGAGAGTCTGTGGTTGGTTGGCATTAACTGTGCCCATTTGGAGGGCATTCTGAGTTTCCTAAACATTCTGCCAAGGGATTCTGAGGTGGTTGAAGAGGCTTTCAAGGACGAGAATTGAAGATGAAGATGACAGGGCGAGTTTTGAGAGAAGAGCAGTTTGAAGCATAATCAACAGAGTTGAAAATCTTGATATCTTAAATCCTGAAGTCTTCTTAATTGTAATGGCTATTTGTTGAGGACTTAACCCTGTATGAGATGCTTGCATACCTGAAGCCTACAGATCGGTAGATATTATTCCCATTTAGCTTTGTTTTTTAAAAATATATATTAATATATATAAGATATATTATATATAATATTAAAAAACCTTTCATTTATTTATTATTTTTTGAGACAAGATCTCACTATTTGACCTGGGCTGATTTTGAACTCATAGGAGTTCGGAGTTCTCTGTTGTCCTGGGGTTAACCACAAGGCCTGTCTTATTTTGGTTGGTCTTGCTGGTCTAGAGATATAGGTCCAAATGGATCTTAATCTCGGGTTTTTCTGTTGTAACCCCCTTGAGTAGGCCCTGACGGACGGTGCTTGCTACTGGGAAGTCAGTTCAGTTTCATCCTGGCAGCCTTCCGTTTCCATGTACTAACTGTACTTTGTATTACTCCCATACTTTCCGCTACTTCTCTTTCTCTTGACAGATAACAGATGCCCTCACTGCTATTGCCCTGTATTTTGCGATTCAGGACTTCAATAAAGTTGTGGTAAGTCATTATTGGGTAGGACAAAGATGGTGGAATTTGGTAATGTGCTCATTATGGCAATGAATCAAAAGCCATGTACTTAAAGATCCAACTATTTTTAAATAGTTAGGTGGGGTTGGTGAGATGGCTCATTGGATAAAAGCACTTGCCAGCAAGCCTGATGATCTGAGTTCTGTCTCCAGGGCCAACAAGGCGGAAGGAGAGGAATGATTCCTAAAAGTTATTCTCTGGCACATGTGTACCAACACACACACAGACACAAACACACACCCCTCAAATAAAATAAATAAATGAAATGATTGAATGAACAAATAAGTAGGTGATGTGGCTATATTGGCTCCTGTCTGTAATCTCAGCATTTGGGATGTAAAGGCTACATGAGGAGTGCAGGGTCATTCTCTATTCCATACTAGTTTGTGGCCAGTCTGGGCTTAAAATATTTTCTAAAAGAAAAATTTAAAGGTCTTCCCTTTTACCAGTTTGTTTTTTCAAAATAAAAATGAACATATTCCTTAACTCACTGTATTAGGCCTATTGAAATAGAATTACATTTCCATTGTTCAGAGAGGAATTTGGAGGTTGGAGATTGAGCCTAGGGCCTTGGAAAATGCCAGCCAAGTGCCATGCCACTGAGCTGCACGCCCCAGCCCCAAAGGAACAATCTTAATTAGAAAATTTGGCATATTGGGCTGGGAGGATTGCTCAGTCAGAAAACATGCTTGCTGCCGATCGATCCCTGGAACCCCTGTGGTGGAAGAGGGGGGCTAACTGTAACAAGTTGTCTTCTGATCCTCATGAGCATACGGAACATGTGAGCTCCTACATACAGACAAACAAATGTAAAAAAGCATTTATGTAAAGTTTTATTTTTCTTTTGGTGTGTATGTGGGTGGTGTTTGCTTGTCTTTGTGTTTACAAGACAAGGTTTTTCTGTGTATCCCTCGCTGTCCTGGAACTCTCAGAGTAGACCAGGCTGTCCTTGAACTTAGAGCTTGTCTGCCTTTGCCTCTGAGTGCTGAGATTAAAGGTATGTACCACCACTGCTCAGTGTAAAGTTTATTCTTAATTATGTAATAGCCAAGGAGAATTGCATCATGGAACCATTCTCCTTTTCCAGGCTTCTGGGAGGATGAATAGGTAAACCATGTGTGTAGTTATGAAGAACAAAAGTTGGTTACCACCTTCCTGTGTGGCTGGGAGCCACTAAGATTTAGGTCAGGATAGGATGAGGGTACATCTTAGTCACTTTCTGTTATCAAGTAATAGACTTAGAGACAGCGGTTTGCCCTTCTGTAGTACTGTGAAGGGTAAAATAATAGTAAATTTGTTGAATTCTAGACTTTTAGACCTCTAGAGATTTAAAAAAATGTCTAGAGTATGGCCTTTTAATTTGTTACCCATTTATATATTTTGGGGTATATTGAATTCTTGAAAGGATGTAAAACCATATATGTGTATGTCATGTTTTGGAGGGTTCATAGCTATTTTTGACTTTTCACCCAAGGGATTAAAAATTCAATTTCAATGTTTTATTACATTTATTTATGTTCTTAAGGAGCTATATTTAAATTTTTATAACATTTCCTTGTGTGTTGGGCTGGCCGGTTGATATATATGCCACAGCAAGTGTGTAGAGGCCAGAGGACAGCCTGTGGAGAATTAGTTCTCTTCATCTACAATGTAGGTCCCAGGAAATCAAACTCAGGGTGCCAGAGTTGGTGGTACATGCCCTTACCTCACTGGCCTTACGAACTATATTTCAGAATTAGAGGCTTAGATTACTAAGGCTGAGGAGTATCATACTAATGAAGCGTGATCTAGAAGCTTTAGAGACAAGAGTTGAATTATTCCAACAGGGTTCCCTGGAGGGTCACAGATGAAATAACTGGGCATAAGATTCATATGCCAGTGATTCCAGAGATACATCCTAGCAAAGGCAGACAGGTCTTTGTGAGTTCAAGAGAGGCCTGGCATTGGTAGTGCACACCTTTAATCCCAGTACTCTGGAGCCAGAGGCAGGTGGATCTCTGTGAGTTCAAAGCCAGCCTGTTCTACATAGTAAGTTCCAGGATAAGCTCCAAAGCAATACAGAGAAACTCAGTCTTGACAATAAATAAATAAATAAATAAATAAATAAATAAATAAAATGAGGAGTAGAAAACTAAATGCCTACTGTTGATTTAGATAGAATGTCAGCATGTGTATTCCTAAAAGGCCCTACTTTGTAAAGGAGGGAGAGTCATTTTCTTCAGTAGTATCACCACTGGTAAGTGGTCTGTGCTCCAGTATAAAGCCTCCTTCCCATGCTTATGCAAGCAAATCTAATTAAACTCACTTGTTGGTCTTTGTCCATCTGTCTCTGTTAACCCCCCAAACTGGTCTCTCTCTCTGTCTGTCTCTTCCCCCCCACCTCACACATACATGAAAATAGAGAGGGTCTGATGGCACTGATTGATCTTCCAGAGGACTCAGCTTGTGTTCCCAGCACCTACATGACAGCTCACAACTGTTCAAAACTTTCTCGTTCCAGGAGATCCAAAGCCCTCTTCTGGCCTTCCTGTTACCAAGTACTCATGGTACACAGACACATGCCAGCAAAACACCCATAAACATAAAAGAAAATAAAGAGGGATTTGTTGAACAAAGAGTACAGCAGGAGTGAGAAGTAGATAAGAGAGCAATGGGAGATGATTATGATCAAAGTCTCATAAAATTATTTTTTAAAAGTCTCCATTTGTTAAAAGGACCCTTACCTTATATAAAAGTCTGCAAAAAAAGTCTTGGGAGGAACTCTATCCCGGCCATCTGCATAGCATCCTGGAAAACAGGTGCTGAAGGAACTTCACACCCACCCCCTCTTCAGCTGTTAGCCCATGGAATATGAACACTAACTGTTGGTAGCCAGTTGATCTTGGCCAAAGTGTCGTTAGCCTAATCTGTCCTTTGCTGTGATGATGTTTCACTTTTAGAACTCATGCCCATTAATTTGTTGGGATACATAAGAGAAAGCAAAGAGCTTTACCACACACACAGACACACACACACACACACACACACACACACACACACACACACACACACACACACCCGTGTAACTGCATCTTAAATCTTCAGCTCCCCAGCCACACCAGTCTCCTTTAACTATTCCACACCTCTTCTATGGAAGTATAAAGGAAAAGCAAACAAACAAACCTTTGAAACAGAAGAATGAGGAAGGGAACCTGAGAAAACATACATCCAGATCATTGAAACTGCTTGAACATGTTTTGCTGATAGAACTTTGAAGTCCTACTACCAGTGATGTGACCTCCCAGCATGACTAAGAGGTGGCTTTGCCATACCTTCATTTTTTTTTTTTTTTGGTCCACAGTGCTAATTGTTAGGCATACACAGAGAGCAAGTAAAGTAACTCACACTGTTGTGGAACTTACTCTCTAGGGAGGAGCCAGGCCTTAATTATACAAAGAAGGCGAAACTTGGAGCTGTGAGCACTGTGGTGAAAGAATGGGTAGGAGGGCAGCTAACTGTGCCTTTCAAGAAAGGGAGGACTTAGCTGAGCTCTCAAGGCTGTGTGGGCATTAACCAGGGGAGAGTAGGGGTCAAATGCAGAATTCAGGGAGCATGGGGAGCATTGCCTGTTCACGTTCTAGATCTGAGTTGGCCTAGGGTGGAGGAGCAAGTATGAGCAGATCCTGGAGACTAGGGTAGGACAGACAGTGGTGTGTGGGTCATGGCAAAGATTTTTGTCTTCATCCTAAAAACCATCTGTTTTGTGTGTCTTGTGCACCCTCCCCCACCTCTAGTTTAAAAAGCAGAAACTGCTCCTAGAACTGGACCAGTATGCTCCAGATGTGGCTGAACTCATCCGAACCCCCATGGAAATGCGGTACATCCCTCTGAAAGTGGCCCTGTTGTAAGTATTCCCTTACAGATCAGAGCTCAGTGCCCATTAGTGCAAGGAAAATCTGATGAGACTTCCCCATGTTGTTGTAGTTTTAGAGATATGTGGTCTTAGTCATCAAGTATTTGCTGTAGTTCTCTTGCACAACTGGAGTTTTGGCCAGCAAAAGACACAGAGCCATTCTGTCTCTGTTGAGACAAAGACTCACACAGGGACATGCACAATCAAACCCTTCACAAAGGCTTTCTGACTCAGTGCTGATCTGGGCTCCAACATGCTTGTAATTACTGTTTCTAAAAATTAGTAGTTCTTCATTACTGAAGTACTGTTTAAAATTCTGGTCTTCATGTGGCTGTTGTTTCATATAGCTTCTATATTCCACATATGATTTATTTCTCTGTTTATAATTTAGAAAACTGAAGCAACATACTCATCTGGGCTAGGTGACCAGCTTAAAAAAATGATAGCAGCTGATGGATGCTTTAAGAAAGAATTCTCTAGGAGTGATTAGCACCACCACAGAGTGTGAACCTCTGAGGTCATTCCCATTTGTGTTTCTGAGATAGGTGAAGTGAGTTATTTAACCAACTAGTAGTCATCAGATTTTTTTGTTTTGTTTTGTTTTGTTTTTTGGGTTTTTTTTTTGTTGTTGTTGTTTTATGTTTTTGTTTTTGTTTGTTTTTTGAGATATCTCTCTATTGTTTTGGAGCCTGACCTGAAACTAGCTCTGTAGACCAGGCTGGCCTCGAACTCACAGAGATCCGCCTGCCTCTGCCTCCCGAGTGCTGGGATCAAAGGCATGTGCCACCAATGCCCAGCTTCATCAGATTTTAATAACATGCTAGTTTCTAGGAACACATACCAAACAAAACATAAAATTCCTCATGGAAATGCATGCCTATAGAATTTTTAGAATTAGAAGCTGGGTGTCCCAGCCTCAAGGAGCCTAATGCAGGAGGATTAATGAGTTTGAGGCTAATCTGTGCTATGTAGCAATATTCCATATCAGAAAACAAGGGGCTGTGGAAGGAGCTAGGCTGGTAGAGTGTTTGCATAGCACATACAAGGTTGGGGTTTGGTCCCCAGCACCCAATAAACTGCGTAGGGTGGTACTTATCTGTAACCCCACCACTTGGGGAGGGGCGGCAGAAAGATCAAAAGTTCAAGGTCAATTTCACCTACATGATAAGTTTGAAGCCAGCTTAAGTCCTGTTAGATTCTGTCCTGGGGGCGGGGTGTTTACAAGCCTGTGTGTGAATTTCCTATTCAGTGTTCCAGGTAGATGTCTAGGCAGCTCCTTCTTCAGTATCACCCAGTATTCAGAAGTGGCTTTCTGTTTTCTCTCCTAGGAGATAATTTTGATTTATCAAGTCTCTACTACATATTTCAGAAATTTAATGGGAAACACTTTAATAGGACCAAAGGTTTAGCAACATAATGAATCCCTATGGACTCTTGTGTCCCCTGAGGGTAGTTTCATAATAGCAGCAGCCATTTCTTTAAAGGTTGTGTAACAAGTCTATCTGATTGCTGGGAAAACAAAACATAAGAAAAACCTCACCAAGCCCCAAAGAGTTTCTAGGCCTTTGGTTTTAGGAGGTGGGATTAGATAAACGGTCTTTATTTGTGAATAATTATTATAATCTTTTACTGAGACATTGGTGTGTTTTTTCCTTTCTGACAATCAGAATTATGTAATTGGCTTTTCTTCCTTTGTCTGCCAGGAAAGTCAGCCATGTTTAAAGCTGATTATTGTAAAGCTGTAGACCTGTATGGGGTTGGATACCATACAGCTGTAGTCTGTGTGAGTCTAGTTATTGTGCAAGCTGTAGTCTGAGTCTAGTTATTGTACAGCTGTAGTCTGTGTGAGTCTGGTTATTGTGCAGTTGTAGTCTGTGTGAGTTTAGTTATCGTGCAGCTGTAGTCTGTCTGAGTCTGGTTATTGTGCAGCTGTAGACTGTCTGAGTCTGGTTACTGTGCAGCTGTAGTCTGTGTGAGTCTAGTTATTGTGCAGCTGTAGTCTGTCTGAGGCTAGTTATTGTGCAGCTGTAGTCTGAGGCTGGTATTGTACATTTGTAGTCTGATTGAGTCTGTCTGAGGCTGGTATTATACTGCTCTGGTTCTTTGGTTTTCCTAGTTTTGCCTTTACTTTTCTTCTCATGAATTTCCTCTGATCTTGATTATGACTGGTTTTATTTTATTTACTATTTTTGTTATTTGTTCGCATTTTAGCTGGTGCAAATCTTTTGTAGAAGCAGGACAAAAATAAATAAAAAGAATCCATTCTGACTGAGTAAGACTTCCAACCCAAAGCACTTTGGATTCATTTTCTGATTCTATTCTTTCCTACTTAGGGGGAAAGGACTCTCCTTTAACTCTTTTCCTAATTGGGGGGGGGGGGTCAAGATCTGGGAAGTTCTATGCCAGCTAACTTGTAGAATTTAGAGGAAACTTGGTCTTGGGGTATTGCTCAACTATGAAGAGGGCTTAGTAGAAAGAATGTTGGCTTTAGAACCAGGAAGACCTGATTTTTGAATGTATTTAATAGCTTGTAAAAACTTGGGCAAGTTACTTAATCACTGAATCTCCATTTCCTCATCTGCAAAAGAAAGATAATGTTATTGAGCCAGGTAGTGCATTCCTGTGATCCCAGCACTCAGGAGGTGGAAGCTAGAGGATCAGGATTTCCTATATAGAGTTCAAGACCAGCTTGGGCTATATGAGACCCTGTCTCAAAAACAAAACAAAACAAAACAAAACAAAAAACCCAACAAACCAAAATACAATAACCACAAAAACCCCATTAAAAACAAAACAGAAACTAGAGTGTTTTTGTTATTTTATAGGATCTTTATGATTGTTAAGTAGAAATACGACAGTTTTGCATATGTCTTATAGCGTAATGATGAGTGTCTTTGTTCATAGACACCCAGTTCCACTTTAAACTCTTGTATTTATGATAATTCATTTCTAGGGAGTTTCCTTTTTGTTTTGTATATCAGTGTCCAGGACTCGCTGGTCCACTGATCAGGTTTGCTAATGGCAAATATGTGTGTTTTCCCCAGCTACCTCCTAAATCCCTATACGATCCTGTCTTGTGTTGCCAAGTCTACCTGCGCTATCAACAACACCCTCATTGCTTTCTTCATTTTGACCACAATAAAAGGTAAGGTCCCCAAGAAGAGTATGAAATATGCAGAGCTCCAGCTCTTTGTCTTTTTTTTTTTTTTTTTTTAAAGAAGCACAAGCTGTACATGGTAGCACATACCTATAATCATAGCATCTCGGAGGCTGAGACAGGAGGGTATGGAATTCAAGGTCAGCCTATGCTATATAGCAAAAATTTGACTGAAAAAGAAATAAAAACCACAGTATTTTTTTAAAAAAACTTATACACATATAATAAAAGATTATTATAGAAAATGTAGATTACACCAAGAGAAAAAAAAATTAGTCCTGAAAAATCTAGCACTGAAAGGATCACGGTTGACATACTTTTTAAGAAAATTTCCCAGACAATGATGAGAATGTCAGTCCTCTGTAGCCTTAGTTCAGCTGTTATCTTCTCTCAGCATAGCTGATGAAATCTTTTGTAGGAGAAGGACAGAGATAAAGAAGGAGAACCAGTCCTGATAGGTAAGGTGTCAAGGCCAGCCTTGGTTGTTGTTTTGAGTCAGGCTGGCAGAGGATGACTATAAACTCCTAATCCTCCTGCCTCTACCTCCTAAGTGCTGGTAATACAGGCTTGTGCCATCACTTCTGGCTAGTTCAGCTTCTTTGGAGCAATACTTTGTTATTATTTATTTCTATATTTTAGACTATATAGCTATCTTATAAATGACAAATTTTAGACATTTTTAATTGTGTTCCATTATGAAAAAATGAAGTTTTCTTATAGCTCTTTTATATCAGTGTCCTTGCTACCTCTTTGTTTGATTTTCTTATAGTTATATTTCGGTTTTGATTAAATTAGTAGTTGGGTTGTGTATGTGGCTTGGTGGTAGTATATGTACTTAGCATGTATGGCTAGCTCTTGCATTTTTTTGTTTGTTTGTTTTTTCAAGACAGGGTTTCTCTGTATTGCTTTGGAGCCTGTCCTGGAACTAGTTCTGTAGACCAGGCTGGCCTCGAACTCACAGAGATCCACTTGCCTCTGCCTCCGAAGTGCTGGGATCAAAGGCGTGCACCACTACTGCCCAGCTGGAAGAGTTTTTTTTTTTTTTTTTTTTTTTTTTAATTGGGGGAAAATGAGTGGGAAAGGGGGCAGAGGAGAAGGGAGACCACCTCTGGGGACAGGAACAGCGGAAGAGAAGCGAGGCAGAGAGAGAGAGAGACAGAGATAGAGAAACAGAGAGAGAGAGAAAGGTGGGAGGTAGGCAGATGCCTTTTAAAAGGCAACATAGTGAATGTGCACGGGTGGTGCTCTTAGTGGCTGCAGCTGAGGGCATATCATGTCAAAACTGCAAAGACAGGCTAGTACAGATGCCTGAATAAGAACAAATATCCCATTATTCAAAATATAATACATGAGCCAGTTGTGGTTACATGTGCCTGAAATTTTAGCACCTAGGAGTCAGAAGCAGAGGATTGCTGCAAATTAAAGGACAGCAGCCTTATCTGTAACAAAGAGTACTAGGCCTGTTTGAGTGACAATGAGACCCTAACTCAAAAATAAAACAAATTATTTATCATATTAGAGCTGGGGATGTAGGTCAGTGGTAGAGTGCTTGTAGCAGAAAAGCTGGGGTCAGGGAATGACTATCTTTCTTATCCACTATGGAAAGGCTCTGTAAAATTGACAAAAGCTTGGACATAGGGAGGAATGGATCCCATATATACCAACAAACATTTTGTCTGTTGTTTTGTATTATATTAGTTACTTTTCTATTGCTGTGACAAAACACCAAGGCAACTTATAGAAGAAATGGTTTATTTGAGGCTTGCAGTTCCAGAGGGATGAGAGTCCATCACCATCATGGCAGGATTATGGCAGCAAGGTGATAGGCATGGAGCTGGACCAGGTGCTGAGGGCTCATATCTAGACCCACAAACAGAAGCAGAGAGCACATTGGGAATGACATGAGTCTTTTGAGACCTTAAAGCCAGATCCCAGAGACATAGCTGCCCCAAACAAGGTCACACCTCCTCATCTTTCCCAAACAGTTCTACCAATTGGGGACCGAGTACTCAAACGTACAAGCCTATGGGGACCACTCTCATTCAAACCACTATAGTTTGCTTGTTTTATAGACAGTCGGCCTTGCTGTGTAGGTCTCAAACTTACAGTCCTCTCTTTACTAAGTGCCCCGAGATCATATCCAGGTATAGTCTGGGATTTATTTTGTTTTTATAAAACTGTACTAATTATGTGTCTGTGCGAGCATGTACATGCATGCCAAGCACACTTGTGGAGGTAAGAAAGTTTTAGGATATGGATTTCACCTTCCACTGTGGACTCTGGTGATTGAAGTCATGGAATCAGGCTTATGTGCCAAGTGCTGTAGTTGCTAGCCATCTCACCAGTCTAAATTTGTTTGTTTGGTTTTTTCCTTTGAGGCAGAGTCTCATTATATAACCCCTACCTCTGACTTGCTCTGTAGATCAGCCTGGCCTCTAACTCACCACCAGCCTCTGCCTCTAAATGGGATTAAAGGCGAGTGCCATTTTGACCAGCCCAAGTCTGCCAAGTCTGTTATTACTGAATACTATTCCATTGTGTGAATGAATATTTGTAGATTTTTTTTTTTAGATTTAATTTTTAATTGTGTGTATATGTATATGGGGGCTAAGCACTCAGAAGAGGGTGTTAAATATGTGGAGCTGGAGTTAGAGATGACTGTGAGTGCTGGGAATTGAACTAGGGTCCTCTTGAAAACAGCAAGTGCTCATAATAGCTGCTGAGCCATCTCATCAGCTTCCCCTTTCACCCCTCTTGTTTTGAGAAAAAGTTTTGATATATAACCTAGATAGACTTTAAACTCACAATGTAGCCCAGACCAGCCTGGGGCTCTTGATTCCAAATGCCTCAGCTTTCTGAGTGTTGGTTTTATAGGTATGTTTCAACTACCATGCCCAGCTTAGAAATTCTTTAATCAGTCTCTACTATTTAGATTTAGGTGATTTTCTGATATTTAGCTACTTAAATTCTACTACAATTAGCTCCATTGTGTGTATTAATATTTTTTTCTTTTTCTTTTTCTTTTTTTTTTTCAAGACAGGGTTTCTCTGTGTAGCTTTGGAGGTTGTCCTGGAACTCACTCTGTACACCAGGCTGGCCTTGAACTCAGAGATCCGCCTGCCTCTGCCTCCTGAGTGCTGGGATCAGGTGTGCGCCACCGACGCCCAGCTTGTGTGTATTAATGTTTTGCACTCACAACCAGTTATTTTCTTACAATGGACTTATTGTGCTACCACCCTCATGATTTTTAAGTTTGTTGCTAAATTTATGTTTTTATAATATATCCCTATAATATCATAAGAATTCTATTTCTAAACAGTATTGTTTAATTATTTGTAAGATCAAGAAATAATCATCATCTAATATTACATATCATAGACCATTTATGTACAGAATAGAACATAAGAATGACTTAGCTCTTTGTGAGACATTGTTTCTTCTAGGTTGTTTAGATTTTTTTTCTTTAGGCTTTTAGTTTAATTTATTATTTAGTATTACTTAAATTATTAGAACTGGGGATGTAGCTCAGTGGTAGAGTGCTTGTAGCATAAAGCCCCCAGCTTCAGTGTCCAGGACTGAAAAAAATACCAGTATTCTGTAACTTGAATTGTCTTGTTCTGAAGGTTGAGGTCATTTTGCAACAAGCAGTTCTTAACAATAGACTTTTTATGTCTGAATACTCCCTGCCTCAGTCTCTGTCTCCAGAGTGCCAAACACAGATAGGCTGTCTCTTACTAAGATACAGAGTGTCGACCAGGCAGTGGTGGCCCACCCTTTTATCCCATCACTCAGGAGGCAGAGGCAGGTGGATCTCTGAGTTCTAGACCAGCTTGATCTACAAGACCTAGTTCCAGGATAGCCTCCAAAGCCACAGAGAAACCCTGTCTCAAAAAACAAAAACAAACAAAGATAGAGTGTCCACCAGGATAAGATATGCTGCATATCTTTTATTTGGAAATGCTATCTTTCTAATTATTATCATCATCATCATCATCATTATTTTTACGTGATTAGAGGTCTTATGATATTATCCAGGTTAGCCTTCAGTTTTTGGGTTCCTGCTCAGCTTCCTAAGTAGCTGGGATATGTGTCACCCTAACCAGTACTAAAAATGTCTGTTTTGTTTATTATTATTATGGCTTTTATTGTTATTGTTATTATTATTGACATGTCACTTTTAAAGAGCTACTCAAGAAACTAAGGAATAGGGTCACAAGTTCAAGGTCTGCCTTTGTTTGCATAGAACATCAGAGGCCAGCCTAGCAGCTTAGACCCTGTTTTAAAAGTAATGTCAGCCATGGTAGCACAGTGTAATCAGGCTTGGGGAGATGAACACCTGAGGGTCAAGATTTCAAGATCACCCTCAGCTTTAGTGTAAGAAGTTTGAGGCCACCCTGAGTTTATAATAGAGCCTGTTTACAAAACAAACAAACAAACTGTAGAAAGAGCTGTCAGATTGATTCAGCATGTAACGGTGCCTGCCACCACGTTTACAACCTGAATTTGATTACCAGAACCCACATGGAAAGAAAGACCCAACTCTCACAAGTTCTCCTGGTGGTTTCCACATTCTCTCTTGGACATACACAATTTTATTTTTTAAACTGGGAGGAAAAGATTCCAAGAAGATCTCAGATCTACAGTTTTGGTCCCACAGGGAAGCTTTATTATTATATGACTGGATTTCTGTTAAATTAATTCATAGCCATTTTTCAATGTTATACACATAATTTTGTTGACTTTTCAAACATATTAGTAATGCCTAGTAATAATTTATTCAGTAAAACAAAATCAGTTTTACATTCACCAAGCTCTGTTTCTGTATTTCACATTTGCATTGCATAAATAGTACAACTAAAGATAGGGTAATTCACTTTCATTTATTTGTTTTGGCTTTTTGCGATTGTGCAGTGATAACAGTGAGTCTGGAGTGAGCTTGTCCAGGCTTATATCCCTTTTCTGTCTTCCTGTACCCTGATCTGTATGAT